AATTGCCTAGGAAATACATTTTTCCCTATCCTCAGATAATTTGTATAATATTGAAATTTGTATAAGACTGAAGGCAGGAGTAGAAGGGGACAACAGAGGATGAGATGGTTGGATGGCATCACTGACTTGATGGACATGACTTTGAGCAAGCTCTGGGAGTTGGCGATGGACAGGGAGGCCTGGTGTGCTGCAGTCCATGGGGATGCAAAGAGTCGGACACGACCGAGTGACTGAACTGAACTGGTTGAAATTTTATTATCTGTGAAATTTTGGTGGATCTTACTTGTAAAATTAAATTTTATGTTTTTACTTTAATGAATGAACTTCTGGATAATAAGTTAATTTCTTGAAAAATGATTACAATTTTGGTTGGTGTTATCTTTTTTACATACTGGTTTTGTTGTTACATTTCTCAGAAATATATCTGTAGTTATCAAATTCATTATCATAGATATTTTGGTAATACTCACTTGTTCTCAAAGATAACTCATATTGTCTGTAATTGTATCACCTTAAATTTTTTTATGTTATATTTGCCTTCTATTTTTTTAGGAAAAAGTAATCTTGGCAGATATTGAGTATTAAGTCATCCTTACCTACAGTAAACTTTTGTCTTTTTGTTCACTCTTTTACTTTTGCTTTCAATTTTTTTCCCTTAATTCTAATGATCTTTATCCAAACATTTTTTTAGTTGGATGATTACCTCATATATTTTATATTATTTTTCCTCTTTTATTATAATCATTAAAAAATATATAATTGTAAATAACATTTTATAAACAGTTTAAAATACCAATATAATTTTATTATACAAACCTTGGAGCTAGTATTACTTTATCATTATTGCTATCTACATATATATTTTCAAATTTTTATTAATGTTACATTTTAATCTGAGTTATTTAATGAAAAAACATTCCATATTTTTGAAGAGTTGTTTCTTAATTCAATATTAATTTCCCTGTGTTGAGAAAGTGTGACTTGTTCATTTTATATTTATGGCTATTTAAAATATCCAAATATTTAAAATTAATTTTAATGATATTGTGTTATACTTTGTATTTGTCTTGTTTCCCCAATTTTGATCCTACTTTTTTTGGTCTTATTTTTATTATCATTTTTTTTTATTCCAGATTTTATTTTCTGCTGGAAATTTTATTGCTAATCCCATTTCTTCATTGTGTGTTCTTAGCTTTCTATCATGCATACTGAATGGTTAACATTAATCATTATATCTTACTCTTCCCAAGCAATCTATGGATCTTAGAACACTACTCCAATTCCATCTATCTTGCTTAAAAGTTGCTTTCTAACATTTCAGAGCAATGTTTTTAATTCCAAAAATCAAACATTATTATTCTTACTGTAGTTAATTGTTTTCAATTTAAATCCTATTTACTAATTTCCTTATCACAGTTTTTGCTCCCAGTCTTAGATCTTTGTTCTAATATCCTTTTCTTTCTTTCTAAAACATCTCTCTAAAAGTTCCTTTTATGTCCACCTGTAATAGTAAACCTACTCAGTCTTCACCCAAAAAATATCTTTTCTTTATTTGGTTTTTGAATGATTATTTTAGCTCTGTGTACAATTTTTAGGCTTATAATAATTTTTTCCAGTGGTTTGAACCTATTATCTTGTTGTCTTCTGGATTCTGCTCTGCTGTTGAGAAATCAGTGGTTACAGTTAATTGTTAGGGTTTCCCTGATAGCTCAGATGATAAAGAATCCACCTGCAATGCAAGAGACCCAGGATCAATCCCTAGGTCAGGGAAGATCCCCCAAAAGAAGGGAATGGCTACCCACTCCAGTATTCTTGCCTGGAGAATCCCATGAACAGAGGACACAGCCAATTAGGTCACAAAGAGTTGGACACGACTGAGTGTTTATAGTGATGCAGTACATGCAATATGCCCAGTCCTTTAACCTTCCTCAATTACTGAGAAAGAGTTGGTCTTCAATTATGCAAATGGATTTTTCTATTTCTCCTTTTAGTTCTGTCAACTTTTGCTTTACATATTTTGACTCTGTATTATTTGGTGCATTTGTATTAAGATTGTTACATCTTTTTGATGCCTTGGTCTCTATGTCATTAAGGACGGTCCCATTTTATCTTTGGTAATATTTCTTTTTCTAATGTTTACCTTGCTTGAAGCTAATAGAGCCTCCCCAGCTTCCTACTACTTAGAATTTGAATGATATGTCTTTCTCGATCCTTTTACTTTTAATTTATGTATCTTTCTACTTAAAGTAGATTTCTTATAAAAAATCTTGTTGGGTATTTCTTTTATATCCAATATTATTATGTTTCCTTGTATTTAGAGACTCTAGACCTTCTATGTTAATAGAATTATTGATAATGGCTGGGAATTTGTTTTCTATTTCTTATAAATATATTTGTTTCTTCTGCACATGTTTTCCACAGTTTTGAAGTAACTGAATGCATTTTACTATTCACTTTCATCTCAACTATTGATTTATTCATATACATTTTTTTCATTATGATTTTTCATTTGTTGACCCCTATGGTTTATAGTATATAGCATTAACTTGAAGCATGCTACATACACATATGCCTCCTCATGCAGATCATAATCCAAATGTACACATTGCCATTTCTAATTTAATTTTATTTTTGCCATACTTTCTTAATTTTACATATTGTAAAAATAGCAAAGTCTTGCTGCTATTAATTTTAGATACTCACTTTTCTTTTAAAGAGATTACAAATAAGTAAAATGTCTTTTATGTTTACCAACATGTTTATTACTTCTCACACTCTTTAAAAATTTTTTTTTTCTATATGGTCGCACTCTTTCTGAGGAACTATATTATAAACGTTTTATAAAGTTGATTTGCTTTCAATGATATCATTCAAGTTTTGATTTTCTGGAAAAGGCTTTTCCTTCACTTTTGAAATATATCTTCACATGATATGATGGAAGATTATAGGTTTTTAGGTTTTTCATTCAGAACTTTGAATGTGCAACTCTTTTTGTCTTCTTATTTGCATAGTTCCTGATGCCAAACCTGCTATTATTTTCATCTTTATTTCTCCTTATCTACATTTTTTTCCTTTTATCTCTGATGTTGTCAAAATTTTCTCCCCATCTTCAATTTCTAGTAGTTTGAGCTGATAAGCTTGATGTTTCTAAAATTCTCCTAGAGGTTCTTGAGATTTTGGGTTCTGTGGTTTGTTTCTTTCTATTAGTTCTGGTAATATTTTTGGCCTTTCTGTCTTCAATATTTCATCTTCTACTGTCTCCCTCTTCTCCTTTTGAAATTCCAATTAAATGCATATTACACCTTTGGACAAGGGATTTTAGATTGTTTTTCTTATTTCTTCTTTCTTTTTCAGTTGGAAAAATTCCATTGATCTTCATCAGATTTTGCCTCTGCTGTGCCTTGGTTTTTGGCATGCCTGTTCAGTACTTTATCTTGGCATTTGGTTTTTTTGCTTGTGTGCGTGTGTGTCTGTGTGTGTGTCTCTGTGTGTTGTGTGTCTGTGTTGTGTGTGTGTCTGTGTGTGTGCGTGTGTGGTGTGTGTCTGTGTCTGTGTGTGTGTGTTGTGTGCATGTGTGTCTGTGTGTGTGGTGTGTGTGTGGTGTCTGTCTGTGTGTCTCTGTGTGTGTGCGTGTGTGTCTGTGTGTGTGGTATGTGTTGTGTCTGTGTGTGCGTGTGTGTCTGTGTGTCTGTCTGTGTGTCTCTGTGTCTGTGTCTCTGTGTGTGGTATGTGTTGTGTCTGTGTGTGTCTGTGTGTGTGTGTTGTGTGCATGTGTGTCTGTGTGTGTGGTGTGTGTCTGTGTGTGTGCGTGTGTGTCTGTGTGTGTTGTCTGTGTGTGTGCGTGTGTGTCTGTGTGTGTCTGTGTGTGCGTGTGTGTCTGTGTATGTGCGTGTGTGCTGTGTGTGCTGTGTGTCTGTGTGTGTGTGCTGTGTGTGTCTGTGTGTCTCTGTGTGTGTTGTCTGTGTGTGCGTGTGTGTCTGTGTGTGTCTGTGTGTGCGTGTGCGTGTGTGTCTGTGTGTGTGTGTTGTGTGCATGTGTGTCTGTGTGTGTGGTGTGTGTCTGTGTGTCTGTCTGTGTGTCTCTGTGTGTGTTGTCTGTGTGTGTGTGTCTGTGTATGTGCGTGTGCGGTGTGTGTGCTGTGTGTCTGTGTGTGTGCGTGTGTGTCTGTGTGCGTGTGTGGTGTGTGTGCTGTGTGTCTGTGTCCGTGTGTGTGTGTGTCTCTGTGTGTTGTGTGTCTGTGTTGTGTGTGTCTGTGTGTGTGCGTGTGTGGTGTGTTGTGTGTATGTGCGTGTGTGTCTGTGTGTGTGTGTTGTGTGCATGTGTGTCTGTGTGTCTGTGTGTGTGTTGTCTGTGTGTGCGTGCTGTGTGTGTCTGTGTGTGTGGTGTGTGTTGTGTCTGTGTGTGTCTGTGTGTGCATGTCTGTGTGTGTCTGTGTATGTGCGTGTGTGGTGTGTGTGCTGTGTGTCTGTGTGTCTCTGTGTGTTGTGTGTCTGTGTGTGTGTTGTGTGCATGTGTGTCTGTGTGTGTGGTGTGTGTCTGTGTGTCTGTGTGTCTCTGTGTGTGTTGTCTGTGTGTGTCTGTGTCTGTGTGTGTGCGTGTGTGTCTGTGTGTGTGGTGTGTGTTGTGTCTGTGTGTGTCTGTGTGCGTGTGTGGTGTGTGTGCTGTGTGTCTGTGTCTGTGTGCGTGTGTGTCTGTGTGTCTGTGTCCGTGCGCATGCATGCTTCTTGCGCCCTTGGTCACTGTCGGGCGCGTCCTTTCGCAGCCGAGCGGGGAAGGCTTGCCCCCTCCCCCGCCGCGCCCTCCACAGGCTGCAGGCCCCGCGGGGTCAGTGGGGCTCTGGGCACGCGCAGGCGTTTCCTTGCTCTCCAGTCGCAGCCACACCCTCTTGTGTGTCCGTGCAGGGCTGTACTCATGAGTGGATTTCCTCCGCTTCCCTTCGGGGCAGGTAATTTCACTTTGTACGCTTGCAAGACAGAGATGTGCAGGGTTTCCGCCCTCCTTCAATAGCTGCTGACCATCTTTCGAGCCCATGAGGCAGGAGACCTTCCCGGCTTTCTCCAGAAGTAAGCGGTGTTCACTCCCCCTGCGAGGGGCTCGCATTGCACGGTTTGGGCCTGGGCGTCTCCGCAGGGGCCGCCGCCACCCGTAGCACGCGCGGCGCAGCTGCGTCTCCAAGCCTCCGCACAGGCTTCCAGGGCTGCCCGCGGGCCGGAGCGGGAAGCGCTGGCGGCCTCCTGTGATGTCTGGGCCTCCCCCAGATTCTGAACCATCGCCCAGGCACATACTCTCCCTTTAGAAATTTGTGCATGTTGAAGAGTACTTTGTTGCCAGACATGATTGCTACCGCTTCCTCTCACGTTCCACCAAAGATGAAATAATTTATATGCCCCTTCTGTCCTCTGAGGGACTTGTCATGTATTAGAATTCAGTTTACTTTATTGCTTTATGACTCTCTGACAGGCTAAATAAAGACGTAATTTTATAGTTTGTCCAACTGCTATCAATTGTGAGGACAGTATTTTATTGCAGTTTTCTACATTCTAAGTGAAAGTGGAACCACGCAGTATCACCTTTATTGTGTATAAGTAGAATAACATCAGAAATGACAAATATTCTAAGGAAATTGTCTCACATTCAAAGTGATGGCTTTGGCACAGTTTCACAATTTTAGCCTTTTCGAAATAAATTTGGTATAAAAATTGTTCTGTCAGACACACCTCAAGTTAAACTCCTTTGGAGGTTGATGCTATCAACTTTTTCAGATGTCCTTAGACTGGGCTTCCCCGGTGACTCAGGAAATAAGGAAGGTGCCCACAGTGTGGAGGACCTGGGTTCGATCCCTGCGTGGGGAAGATGACCTGGAGCAGGAAGTGGCAGCCCACTCCAGTCTGCTTGCTGGAGGACCCCATGAACAGAGGAGCCTGGCAGGCTACAGTCCGTGGGGCCACAAACAGCTGGACACGACTGACTAACACTTTCACACTCACAGTATGTTAAACATAGAATAGAAACACTTATTTCATAAAGACCCCACAAATGCCATTTTTATACTAGAAATAAATATTTGAAAGCTAAAGAAAAAATTTCTACACAACTTTAAAATTGGGAAGATGGAGTGAAGTATTAGAGTCAAAGGAAATGTATATGGTCTCTCATATGATGTGCAAAAATGTATGGTGTTTTATGATGAAATTTGTAATAATTAACAGAAGAAATTTAAAAAATATATTTGCCATTGTATTTGCAATTTCTCTCTATGAAGAAACACTGAGATAATAACTTGCTGGGGCGATTTGTGTTTTGTCCTGATTTTGAAAAAAAGGTGAGTTTCTTCAAAAAATGGTACTCTGTCATGTGACACTAATGTATTAATACTTAGTATTAATATGTATTAATGTGTTCTTATGTATTAATGTATTATTACTTATGTATTAATACTTAACTTGATGTCAGCTAAAACTTATTTGTAAACTCTCAATATTTAATTACTGTCTTCTTCATTTCATTCCATTAGAATTCCATTAGAAACATAATTCATAAGTGCATTCACTAGTACTTTTAAATAATACATGAAAGTCAACAAAATTACTTTAATTGTCAGGAATTGAGCAATTTTCTCAGCTTTTAACTGAAACTTTGTTATGGTAAGTCCTTTTCTTTATCTTATATGTGTTTATAAATGTGTTTAAAATGGAAAGATAGCACTGGGTATTAGAAAATACCTTTGAAGTATTTATGTTCTTAAAACTAATAATTTATTTTTTGCTACACTTTTAAGTTTTTTAATTTACTTTTACTTTTTAGGGTTGTACTGACATGAAACAATAAAGGTGACTTAATTAATGCTGTCTTCAAACAACGGATGTTTGCATAGGGAATAATTGTGGAAATTAAGTTTTTTAATACATTTGCAGGCTTCCCAGACGGCTCAGTGGTAAAGAACCTACCTGCCAATGCAGGGGGTACAGGAGACATGGGTTTGAACCCTGGCTCAGAAAGATCCCCTGGAGTAGGAAATGTTAACGTGCTGTAGTATTCTAGACTGGGGAATCCCAGTACTCTTGCCTGGGAAATCCCACGGACAGAGGAGCCTGGTGGGCTACAGTCCATGCCGTCGCAAAGAATCAGACATGAGTGAGCATACGCACACATTCTATTTCTGGAAATTTCTTTATTATTTTAAATGGCAAAGTAAATTTTTGTGAACCGTATGAATTAAAACAGTTTGGTCAGTTCAACATTGCATGAAATTTAACTAAATATAAAGGTGTCAGAATAAAAATCTCACTTGGGTCCATGATTGCTTATAAAAACTATATAATATTTGATGAATCATATGAACTTTTATTATTAGTGATACAGCTATTGAGAGGAAACACAGACCCTAGTTGTGTCTTGTGTTAATTGCTCAGTCATGTCCAACTCTGCAACCGCGTGGACTGCAGCCTGCCAGGCTCCTTCATCCATGGGATTCTCCAAGCCAGAATACTAGAGTGGGTAGCCACTCGCTTCTCCAGGGGATCTTCCTGCTGCAAGGATCGAACTCAGGTCTCCTGCAGGCAGGCAGATTCTTTACCATCAGAGCCAGCCAGGAAGCCCCCAGACCCTAGTAGAGGAGTACATTACCTGAAGTCAGAGGCAGGTATCTCAAATCCCTATCTGGTTTTATTTTTTTCCAACATCCTTTTCTGTGATGTCCAGCAGGTAGAAATTGTTGGGACTTGTCATAAGTGGTCCCAGGAAGTGAAAATATACTTTTAAAACAAAGGTGCAGGGTATCAGCAGAGACTGAATCTTCAGATTTTTTTTTTCTTGAGAAAAAAGACTTTATTATTTTATTTTATTTTTTTCATTTATTTTTATTAGTTGGAGGCTAATTACTTTACAATATTGTAGTGGTTTTTGTCATACATTGACATGAATCAGCCATGGATTTACATGTATTCCCCATCCCACTCCCCCCTCCCACCTCCCTCTCTACCCGATCCCTCTGGGTCTTCCCAGTGCACCAGGCCTGAACTCGTTTCAGGTCAGTTTGATCGCTCAGTCATGTCCAACTCTTTGCGACCCCATGGACTGCAGCACACCCAACCTCCCTGTCCATCACCAACTCCAGGAGCTTGCTCAAACTCACGTCCACTGAGTCAGTGATGAAGCTAGACAGCTGCCAAGTAAAAAGTTTCAAGCAGCTTCTGCTTTTTTGGTCATGAATTGGCATTTTACTTTGAGCAAGATGACTGCTTGTTTTAGGAAGATGGAATTGAGTGTTCCTTTCAGCTGTGAAGATTTAAGGGTATGTTAACTTGTCAGGAACCTGGGGTTTATGAACTGCCCACACACGTGACAACTGGCCCTCCCACCCACCGTTTCCCTCTGTTACACAGAGGTAGGTACCTGAGAACACAGCTCCAATGAAGAATATGTGGGGGGCGGGGGGGCAAAGAGCTGAGAGGAAAAGCTCCCTAAGGGAAGGAGGAGACCAGGAAATGGCCACGGAGAAGGAAAAAAGGTTCTTGGCACCTTTTTTGCTGGACCCTGACTCGATTTGACGTCTCTTTGCTGTATTTGGAAATGTCCTGGAGAAAATGCTGTGTACAAGTGATCTGACACTATCCTTGCAGCACTGACAACCGTGACGCTTGCGTCCCTTGCTGTTTTACTGTTGGATGCGTCTAACCGAACACGGGTGAGAAGGAACATATACTCTTACTCTGAGTCCGGGTGAGCCGGCAGCCTCTGCAGAGGTGATCGTAAAGAGCAGGACCTAGTGTTGACAAGAGCTCGCCCGCCGCTGCGCAGACCCTGTCTGAGGAAGATGCCCGGCTGGGGCATGGTGGTCAGGACCCCAGGGTCCACAGCCAGCGCCACGTGAGGGGGGCGGGGAATGGCAGAGGACACTGACCACGTGGTTTGCTGAGCTCAGCCACTGTGAGAGCCACCTAGTTGCTGCTTCATTAACTGATGTTGCCTGGTCCTCAAAAATGAATTCATGGACAAGCTGCAGTAATCCTTAGGATGGGGGAAAGGAGCATCCTGGATAAAAACTGGATTTCCAGCTCACTTATAAGATAAGCATGATTATCGTAATGTTTTAGATCTCAAGAGGTAAGTGATTTGATTGCCTTTGCCCCTTGGGGAATGAAGCCTGGGCTACGTATTAGACAACACAGTGAATCTTCTCACATAATTTTTCTTAGGGCAGCTTTACCACAGGTGTACAACAGCAGCAGGCACACACGCTGCCCCCAGGATGCAGGAAATGCTTTTTGCTCTGTCACAGATAGCTGGAGAAATTAGAAATTTGGAAACAAGTCAGAAGCAAACGGTTATGGAGTTCCTGTGTTCCACAAGCTCTTGCCGTCTGTGCTGGGGGTGAATGACGCACAGAGGACGCGGGCTCCTTCGGTGGGGGAGCTTGTGTTATTGTGCACAGACACCTGCTGCTCTTCTCTGCGCTGGGTCACCTTCCTACTCCATGAGTGGTCCCCACGATCCCCTCTCCAGGGCACCTAGGGTCAGTGTAGTGTGGTCCACGTTGAGTCTCCATTCATCCATTTCTGCTTGACATTAATGAGCACGGACTCCTTCTTTGATTTTCCTACAGAAAAGAAACATGAGTTGAAAGATGCTAAGATATTTGTGCCCCTCATTTCCACAATCTTTCCTTTAAAAAAAATGTTTATTTGACTGTGCTGGGTCTTGAACTCCCCAGGTGGCACCAGCGGTAAAGAACCTGACTGCTAATGCAGGAGGCATAAGAGATACAGGTTCAATCACTGGGTCAGGAAGATCCCCTGAGAAGGGCATGGCCACCCAATCCAGTATTTTTGCCTGGAGGATTCCATGGACAGGGGACCTTGGTGGTCCACAATCCATAGCATCTCAAAGAGTTAAACACGACTGGTGCGACTTAGCACACACATGCATGCATGGTGAGTCTTAGCTGTGCCCTGTGGCCTCTGTAGTTATGGCACATGGGGTCCAGAGCTCACAGACTCAGCAATTGAGGTGCACAGGCTTAGGTGCCCTGTGGCATGTGTGATCTTAGTCCCCCGACCAGGGATTGAACCCAGGTCCCCTCATCAGAAGGCGGATTCTTAACCACTGAACCACCAGGGAAGTTCTTCTACAAACTTTCCTGGCTAATACATGCTCAAAGTGGAGATGACATTTTAGCAGAGATACACATGGCAATAAGAAAATGAGAAGGGAAATATGAATAAAAAATAAGTTGATCATGTGATGGGGATTAGAAACGGGGCAGGGGGAA